CCGCCCAACGGGTCCCTGGCTCCGCAGCGCCGCCCCGCCCCGGAAGCGCCGCGCGCGAGCGCCGCGTCACTTCCGCGGGGCCGTCCGCGTGCGCGCGCAGCGGCCGCCGGGCTGCAGGCCCGCGCCAACCGGGCATGCGCGAGAGCGAGAGGGGCGCCGCCTCTCCTGCCGCCCCGAGAGTTAGGGGCGCGTGGCTGGCGCGCCGGACCGCGCGCCTCGTGCGAAGCTGCCGAGAGCGTGGAAGCGGTGCGTGGAGGGCGCGGGCTGCGCTGGGGCGCCTCGGGCTGGCAGTGCGTCGAGATGCCGTTTCTGAGGATTTTATTGCATTCGTTCATTATAACGCCGCCTCCTCTTTTCCCTAACACTGAGGTTTTAGTTCAGGCAAAACAACTCCCAGCCAGTCCAGGGAAATACACCTCTATCCTCGGCAGCGCACTGACCGGCCATGCGAACGCTGGTGTCTGATGCGCGGCTGCTGGGCGATGCTGGGGCGGCTTGGCTCGCGGGCCGACAGAGAGGGCTCTGCATGCCCGCCGCGGCTCGCGGGCCAGAGGTTCGCCACCACTGGCCTAACTCTACCCTGGTGCACTCCCCTAGCCCTGATACAGGGGTAAGGGCCATTGAAAATAATGTGAATTTGAAAAGGTCTTCCTCGAGTAGCTTTTTCTAAACAGCTCATCCTTTCTGCCCCTTCTAAACACATTCCAACCATCAGAACCATGCCAGGACACCTCGTTTTCCTAACTCTAACCCTACCCCGGTGCACACCCCTAACCCTAATACAGGGCTAAAGTTCCACTGAAAAGAGGGCGATTTTGAGAAGCCTTCCCGGAGTAGCTTTTTCTGCACGGTTCATCCTCTCTGCCCATTCTCCTCATGAGCATGCCTGGGCCCCTTCCCTTTGGGAGGGGCCTTCTGAGAGCGACCCCCCCCCTCCTCCAACGGGGCCACCCTCCTCTGCTGGAGGCACGTCATGGGGTCAGGAGCCGTGCCCCACTGGCTGAAGCCGGGAAACTTCCACATCTGGGATGTTCCCAGGGACGCTCTTCCCTCCTGGGGAGCCTGGCCTTGAGAGAAGCATCTGGTTTGCGTAGATATTCCCATATCTGAATATGGAGAACAATCAGCCAAGAACTGCTTGCGGAAACTTCACTGAAATGTGAATTTCAAGAGGTTTTTGGTGGTTGAGTGGAGGGTTTAATCCCAGTATATCAGGCAATACAGGCAATACACTTTGATTATTTTTCTGCTCTTTCACTGTTGCTTTTGTACCTTCACGAAAATGCCAACAGGCTTTCCAACCACCTAACCCATCAAGCACAACCAACCGCAAATCTTTAAAAGCCATTTATTTCTATATATTTTTGACATTACATATATGGACACATTACACATAGAATCACTGCCCTGTGGAGAATCTGATCTGGAGGTTGGCCTTGAAAGAGACATGTGCTAAGCCATCATCCCCAGCTGCAGGGAAGTCAAAAGGATCACACCCAAGTCAAACCCACCAAAAGCGGCCCTAGGCCCTAGAGAGTGGTGAGAACGTGAAAAGCTGAATGAGCGACGGTGCACCTCAGTGGCCTTGGATGGAAAAGGTCAAGAATTGGCCGCCTTGTTGGAGGTGGCAAGCCTTTCTAACGTGCGCAGGATTGTGCCCTTAGAGACACAAGGGGCAGCAAAGGAGGCCGGAAGGGCCTCTGACCGTGAGCTCTGCATGAACTCCATGGCCACCTTTGCGTGGAATATTCCCACAGCTCCTCTGGCAAGTAACTTCCAATGTCATTATATTGGAATTAGCTTCCTCTCTGTAGAAGACTTGCCCTTCCGGGCTACTAAGTCTTACTTTACGACCCTGGCAGTAACAATACCCTTCATGCAGTCAAAGCAGAAAAAGTTCTCCCATGACTTGACTTCAAGTCACGCACAAGCCAAATGACCTTGCGGGTCGCTATGATTGCCCAGCAAATAAAGATTCCCTGCTTTTCACAGTAGTATCTGTCCCAGTTTCCTTTGCAGTAATAGCTATATTTTGTCTGCCTCTGTGGGTAGATCAAGTCACAGCTTAGCCCGGATGGCTGATCCACTCAAAAGAGAAATAGGAATACCTGCTAGGTAGGATTCCCCCACCCACTTTCTTCCCTGAATCAGCATCCAACTCTTCCTGCTCCAGATTTCCTGGGTTAGAAGCGCTGTTTGACCTGGAACTGCTCACACATCTTGTATTTCATAGTGAGTCCATACCGAGGTGTCATATCTACCGTCTCTCTGTTAAGCACATGGAATTCCAGTGTCTGGACCAGGGTGGTCAAGAACAAGAAGATCTCCCATTTTCCAATATTCTCTCCCAGGCATCTCCTCTTGCCCAACCCAAAAAGCAGAACCTTTTCCACCTCGTTTCTGCTTATGCCGGTCCCGTCTGCAGAAAGGAAGCGTTCCGGGCTGAAATCGCAAGGGTCCTTCCACAACTTCCTGCAAGGAAAAATAAAAAGCATGCATTCTAGCGCGGTTGTTGACATGCTGCTAGCAGGATTTGGGTTAAAACAAACTGACACTGCATTTAGGATAGGATATCCCTGCCTCCAGCTGCCGAGAGCCATTTCAGCTTGCTTCTTCACAGGATCAGAACGCATCTTTGGCACTGAGCCTTTTTGCCGAGAAACAAACCTTTTTCTTTGGAGGATGAGTGTATTGCTGGGAATTTTAAGGTCACTTCACCCTCATTTTTTGGGGGGTGCATAGCTCACACGCCTTGTCCTGTCCCCATGTTTTGGCCCCCAGGGGAAGAAAAGCAAGATGTGTGAGAGCTGTTCTACAAGCGGGAAGCCTCCACGCAGAGTTCCCCCAGTTTCTGCAGCTGCACAGCTGCTGGTCCTGAGGTGTAGTTAGTGCGGTAAGAATGTGAAGCCAAAATATAGTTGTCCGGGGCTCCGCTCCTTTGCTTTTGGCCTTGCTTGCCACTGGAAAGTGTCCCCTGCACCCTCCCCCCCACCCCAATTCCACAAGAACGTCTTTGAAATGGAAGTCGGCCTGTTTAACGAGCTGTCGGCACAGGTTCAAAAGCCGCCGCGTGTCGAATTGGGGGGACGTGGCAGCAAAGCTCCCGTGAACGGGCTTGGGGGGCAGGCCAGGAGAAACTCACGGATCGTGGTTGACTTGCCACTGGTTGACAAACACACAGGTGTCCCGGGGGATGTAGAAGCCGTTCACAGTGGTGTCCCTGTTGGTGCTGCAGGGGGAGAGAGGCGGGTACAATATTCACACAGGCAAAAAAAGAGTGCTTGCGAGACTCTCGTTCTTTTCTCACAAAAATGATAACGGCTTGCACAGGCCGCAGTCCGTACCCTCTGATGTATAGGACTGAAGCCCAAGAGAATATTATCAGCCTCTTTGCTAAAGCGACAGTTCCTGGAGTTCTTTGAAGGCACGGAAGGTGCAGTGCATTGATATTATTATTATTATTATAACATTTCTATGCCGCCCCTTGCCGATATGCTGAGCATGTCCGTTTTCTCCTGCTGGATTTCAGCGGCGATGTGGCCTCGTGCAATGTTCAGACCATGCAGGGAGCTGTGCCGACATGGGAGCACCCACAAACGCTTCACCCCCGGCAGCGTTCAAAGACACGTCCCTCCGGGAGTGCCAGATCTACTCACAGCCCCGGCTGAGCCTGAGGAAAGCTGCTGCGAAAGGAGCCCTGCCGTTTGCACGACGGCACTTGTAAGAAGACACTGCGCTTCTTGCTAAAATCTGCTCCCCTCCCTGCTTTAAAGTGTCCCTGCCCTTTTGGACAGGGGCTCAAAGACTTCTCAGCAGCTTCTGGCTTTGGTAAGCAGGGACAGAGAAAGAGAGCGAGTCAGAAGGGGTCTCCTGGGCCATCTAGTCTGACCTCTGACTCCAGCCAGCTCCGCTCACGACATGCCCACCATGTGCACGTCCAGCCTGTCCTTGAACACCCGCACCGATGGGGCCTCAGCCACCTCTCGCTGAGGTCCTGGGCCCTGGGCGTGGGTGCGGGCCAGGAGGCAAAGTGCCTTGCCACCTATTACTTTGAAAAGGGGGCTGAAAGCCCCCGTGGCTTCTCTGGGCCCACCTTCCCCAGGCTGCCAAGTCCACTCCACTCTAGACCAGAATCCAACCCCGTGGATGGAGCCTAAACAACAGCGGTTCAGAGATGGCGACTGAGCAAGTCTCCAGGAAAGAGGTGGATAATTTGCGAGTGTGCACATCAGGAAACATCAAAGAGTGTCCTAGCACAACGTTTATTCCTATTATACCCTCCACTCCCAAAGAAGCAAATTGCTGGACATTGTGTGTGTGTTCATTTGTGCTCAGACTCTCCGGGTGAAATTCATGATCAATAACACAAGTAGCACAGGTTAGATAAAAGCAAACAGCTTGCAGGTTTGTGTCTAGGTGTCTTGTCACACACTTGTGTCTTTTTAAGGTCTGTTTTGCTACAAACTGCATTGGCTGTGTTTGCATTTGGGGAGGCCTTAGAAGGGGGCCTGCATATTGGCAAACGTGACCTGAGAGATCTGACTTATGGAAGAGGGCTAAGCGGAATAACACGTCCCCTGTGCCCGGGAGAAATTCGATTGCAGCATCGGCCTCCGGCTGCAACTTACCAGTGAGGGATTGTGAAGGGCACAAAGGTGGTGTGTCTGAACACCTCCATGATGAAGGCTTCTGTGTAGGGCAGCATGGGGCGATCCGACAGTCTGGGCTTCCGTTCTCTGCCGATGGTTTGGTCTGCAAGGCAAAGGGAGTGAGAAGCGGGTTTGTTGAAATCCAGCCTTGGAGAAGGGCTTCTAAAGAACAAAGGCCTCGAGGGAGGAGGGTCTGGATTTGTACCTATTTCTTCCTGGATCTTCTTCTGGACTTCAGGGTAAGTTGCCAAGTACATCAGGCACCAGGACAGAGCAGTGGTCACTGTGTCAAATCCTGCAACGGACGACGTGAGGGAAGGCCATTTAGCATCAGTGGCGGAGCAGCCAAAAGCAACGCAAAAACCCTCCAATAGCCTGCCCGTATTTGTTGACCTTGGACCCCCATTGTAGGATGTTAAAAGTGGGGTGAGCGGGACAGCATGCACTGTCGTTTGGTCCACAGCAAGGCGGCAAGCCGCAGAGACGGTTTGCGTAAAGGAGTGCTCCTGGGTCAGGCCGAGGTCTGGCTAGTGAGCGTTGTGCTTGCACTGTGGCCACCCAGCCGTGTGTAAGGTGGCCATGTGCGAAGGCACCCCGCCATCAGCGTAAGAGCTTCGGTGCAGGCCGGGCTTCCCTTGCGGAAGTCCCTGTCTGAACTCAGTGCCACGCGCTTTTCTGCCAGGCACGACCTCCTCCAGGATTTGTCGTTCCTCCTACGAGACAGAGGGAGCTGGGTCTTTCCAGCCGGGAGCAGAGGAGACTCCGAGGGGATCTGCTGGAGATATGCAGGTGTGTGAGGGGGTGTCACGCAGAGGTGGGTCGAGACCTGCTCTCCCCTGCGGAGGGCAGGATGCGCTTCAGCGGAGCAAAGCTCAGGGAGCCAAGGTTCAATTTGGATGCCAGGAAGTCCTTCCTGATGGTTAGGACCCCTGGGGCATGGAATGGGCTTCCACGGGAGGTGGTGGAGGCCCCATCGGTGAGGGGGTTCAAGGACAGGCTGGACATGCACATGGTAGGCATGTCATGAGTGGAACTGGCTGGAGCCGGGGGTCAGACTGGATGGCCCAGGAGGCCCCTTCTGACTGGCTCTGTTTCTTTGTGTCCATGCACCCACATTCTGAGGTTATCCTTGAGCACGCTGAAGTCCCAGGGGCTGTTTTTGGGTTTCTCCCTCCCATGGGGCCACTGGGCAGGGCTTGTCCCTGCATGCCGGGACTCTCCCCTGGGTTAGCACAATGCCCGTCTCCCCGCAGCTGCCTCCCTTGGGCAGGAAGAGGCATGGAAGGAAATTCCCACCCAGTGTCTCCATCTGGAATTCTCTCTGAAAACTCTCCAAATAGTTTTGCAGGAGGGGTTGGAGAGCTGAACAGGCCAGCTTAAGCCCAGAATCAGAGGCTTCTGCAGCCCTCTGGTTTTAAGGTAAAGCCAAATATTCAATGTCAAGGATCAGCAAATACAATTCAGCAGGGAAGGGTAACTTTGGTACGTAGCTTGGAAGAGGCCTGCTCAGGCCGCTCTTGTGACAGTGCAAGATTAATGCCATGATGTGGAACATTTCAGGAAAGGGCAATTCGTGTGTCTCTGGAGAGAGACTGCCTGTTCGTCAGTCCACGAGAAAGCAAAACGAGGCATTCGTTGCGAACATACCGAAGACCTGGGGCTGCAAGGAATCGTGCTTATATTTGATGCACTGGCACAAGCAGTGTGTTGGAAGCTAGAAGCGGCGGCGGGTCGGTTTGCTGCTTTTGAAAGCAGCTGGCGGCAGCAAGGGGGAGGCAGAGGCAGAGGCAGAGCGAGAGGAGTTTGGCAGGTTCTTACCAGCTCCGAAAAGGTCATTGACAATGTACGTAACCTTTCGATTCAGTTGCTGGACGTTGGGATTCACGTCCATGCCCTCGCCTTGGCACTGGTCGATCAGGGAGTCGGTAATGTCTCGGATGTTGTTCTGAAAGGCAAAATGAAAGGGTGCTTGCAGTGCCGAATTCCAGGACACCAACCCGCCAATTACGTGTGAGAAAGCGACCATATGGGGTGAGGCGCACAGGCAGCCTAATGCCAGAGCAGAAGGGTGCGTTTCTCATGCACCCGATATTGTCGACTGTATTCTCAGCAGCTCTTTAAGATCTTTCTGGGTTGCCCGCTATGCAGATCTTTTTGGTGGGAAATGGTGAGGACTGAATAGAGTCTGCAGCACACACAGAAGGTACCAATGAACTTTGGAAGAAACTACAACTGCAAGAGGTCAGTTTTGCTTTCCTGTCCTGTTTCAAAGCTGTTTCCCGGGCAACCTACCTGAAGCTAACTGGTCCAGGGTGGGCAGTCCCTGGGCTGGAGGCCCAGCTCTGAACCATGTTCATACCCCCTCGAATTTCTGCAGAAGATGGGCGGGGCATAAGTGAAACCTCTCAGATGAGAGAATATGGGTTAAGCAGCATGATATGCTGTCCGTTGTATACGCAGGAGGAGTTCTCCAAGCATTTGGGATTTCAGCTAGCATGACCAGCGCTCAGGAATTCTGGGAAGTGACACGAACAGCTGGAGGAGAACTTGCTGTCCACACCTGCTGGACAGAAGCCATAGGCCTTGTTTCCAAGTCTTGCAAACTTGTACGTCTTTGCAATGCAAGGTATCGCTAGACATGTCTACTGTGTGGACACCGATTGTTCAGGATTCTGCAAGTACATCCCTTTTCTCTGCAAATTGTAAGCATGTAAGAAATGTACTGCAGCCTCTTTGCTGGTCTTTCGCTAGGGATAAGATTTGCTTGTCTGAGTTGCAAGCAGAGGGAGAAATAACTAAGCAGAGCAACCTGGATGTTGAAGACACAACCCTACCTTGTCGAAGTTTAGGTAATGCTCCTTAACTATCTTCTGCACAAGTGCACTGAAGCGCTGATTGACCTCCTGGAAAGCCTTCATGGCTTTGTTGGGAAGATACCGGAGGATGGGGATGAAGTCGGCTGGGTTCCCAGAAGCACTTGCTTCCCCAAACTCATTGTTCATGTTCAACATCTTGAGCAGCTCCTGGTCTTCATGGTTGTAATGCTTCCCAAAACACATGGCACAGATTACATTGAGCACGGAGATTACCAGGTACTGGTAAGGTTCAAAGCTCTCCTTTTCCTTCATCAGCTCCTGGAACTTTGCTATGAGGCAGTCTGCTTGCTCGGAGACGTGGTCCTCCAACAGAGAGGTGGACGAGAAGGCCTTCAGTGCAGTCTGAGCTAGCTTTCTATTGGCTCGCCATACATCTAGCGAAAGCCGGCCAAAGGTTAAACTCTGGCCGTCTTCAATGAACTGGAAGCTGTAGAGATCAGGGCGGGCCAGAAAGTCATCTGCTTGCTTAATCAGGGCTTGCCTGATGGTTTCCAAGCCACTCAGCACGACCACTGGTCTGGTGCCGAGGTGGATCTGCATCACATCCCCGTACTTCTGGCTCATCTCTGCCAAGCTGCGATGTGGGTTCTTTCCCAGGTCCAGCATATTGCCAATCAGTGGATACCCTCTTGGCCCAGGTGGTCTCTTCAGTCCTGGGGGAATCCGCTGCCAGAAGGATTTGATGAAGACCAGAAGCAGGTAGGACAGAAGGAAGGCTATGAGAGTGTCTGTGACTGAAATGGGACCTGGGCTTCCTATCCACACCGCCTTCATCTCCCTAAAGTCATCTAATGGACCAGAGAAACAGAGGAGGAAAAAGGCAAGAGGTTACCCAGGAGGTAGAGCAAATTGGGGAACTGTCTAAGCTTGCTGTCTGGCTGTAGAAATCTTTCTGGGATTAAGATTCCCCCAAATGGAACTGTCAAAAGTGAACAATATTTTCAGGGCAGCCCCATTCATACATACTCAGAAGTAAATCCCATGGAATTAAATGGGTCTCACTTCCGAGAGCTGGAAGCAGTCGTCGCCCAACCTCCAGACATTTCTATCGCCCCAGCCAACTTGGGTGTTTGTCCGGGATGGTGGGAGCTGTAATTCAAGATGTCAGATTCAGGAAAGTTGGTTTATGAGATTGGAGTCTCCCACTGAGAACTGCCCTACAGGTTCCACCCCCTTTCCCATTTTGCTGCAAGTAGTAAGATATGTTCTGTCTACATGTAAATAGGAGTGCACCCTAAGAAACCCGATGCAGTACACTGAGAACTCATGTCCGGCAGCCATAACAAAAGACGTCAGCATCGGATTTTGGTTTGAAAAATGCACTGGGAAATAGCACAAATTAATGCAGGAGAGTCAAGGGAGATGTTTTAATCTAGCAGCAGAAAGGGCTTTTGGACGGGCTTTCCAAAACTGGGATATGTCCATATAAAGTCCTCTCCTTGTGTAACTAAGGGCAGCTCCCGTGAGGAAAGATGTCCAGAGAGGGCTTCAGGGGAAGATCTGAAGATTCACACTGGCTGGGATGGGGAAAGGGACTTGTTCCTGCCCCCAGAGCACTCCCAGAGGCGTGTGGCCAGCCGGGACTGGGCCGCTGCAGGACCAGATGTGCTCGCTGCAAGCGCCCCTCTTCCAATGCGGCTTCCTGTCTGCCTCTCTAAAGTCACTGATAGTCTGGGGATAAACTACGGCTTACTGTTTGGGAGGGCCCTTGGGGGAAAGTGCGGGTTCAATCCTTGGTGTTTCCAGGCAGGGCTGGAAAAAACTCCTTCCTGAAGCCATCGAGAACAGGGGCAGGCAGATGCAGAAGCGCAGCCTCGTGGCCAGCATGACCAGTGGCCGGGAAGGCCGGGAGCGGGAAGCCCAAAGCTCAGCCGTGCACCAGCCGCCGCTCAGCCTGGTGGCGCTGGCAATTCTGCGTGAGAAGGGCTATTCTCTTATACTGAGAGTCAGTCCCATATTGCGAGATCCGTGTGTCACCATAAGCGCTGGAGGTCCCAATCCAGCACTTGATGTTTCACTGGGCAGTGTCCAAAGTTAGTTCTAGGTAGAGTAAACCCACTGAAATGGATATATTAGTTATTATATATAATATTGTATTAGTTGCGGCAAATGCAAGTTCCATTCATTCCAATGGGTCTACTCTAAGTAGGACTACCACTGGTCACTCCCGTATCCTCATCCCGCTATAAGGAGGTGCAGAGGAAGTCGCCTTGGATGGAATTTTCCGCTTAGTTCCTCTAAGCTCCCTTGAGGGCTTCACGCGGAGTTTCCCGGGGAGAGTCGCAGCAGCAAGGTCATTTCCCTGCCCTCCGCAGGCCCCTGACTGGGTGAGCGAAATATTCTAGCGCTGACAAGCCAATATGATATGAGGGGGCAGCACTGGGCTGGAGACCCAAGAGAGCTAAATTCTAGTTGCCACTTGGCCATGGAGCCCACGGGGTTTCTTGGGGCCAGCCACTCACACTCAGCCTAGCCTACCTCACAGGGCTGTTGTTGTGGGATAGAATCAAGTAGGGAAGACGCTGAGCTGCCTTGGCGTCTTTGCAAGAGGGGAAAGGGCAGGGTAGAAATACCGTAGAGTAATAAGCAGGAGCACACGGAAGGTAGGCAGGCAGGCGGGAAAACGCGCACCAAGGCAGCCAAGGAAGGGGCACCGTCCTTCCTGCACTTGGGAAGGGGCAGCGGGTCAGACGGTCGCCACGACCGGGCGCCAAGCACAGATCTGTGCGCGCCACGGCTGCAGGCGCAGGGAGAGAAGCGCGCCTTCTTCGCCAACAGCTTTCCATCTGGGTGCTGGGAAAACGGGATTTCCCTGGATCCAGTGCGCTGCACAGTGTACCTGTGTGTACACCGGAGCACGCGCGCACTCTGGTCCGTGCGCACACTCGTTGCACAGCGATGCGCTGTGAAGGTTCTCAGAGGTGTGGGGTGCTGCGAAGTTCCCCCGCTCTGGGTTTTGAAGCGAGCTAGGGAGACCGTTCCGCACCTTGGAGACTGTGAACCAGCTCCGTGCCCCTGAATCGCAGCAGCAAGGGGGCTGTCAAGGCGCCGGGTGCTCAAAGAGGTGTCTGAAAGGCACTCTGCACGTGTTTAGGGGCACTCTGCCCAGTCCATTTACCATCATACCTCGTTCAAATGTTGACCCGGGTTCTTATCCCAGATCAAAAGGTCTACGAACCTCGGTCCAGACAAAAGACCTCTCCATCCGCAGACACGCATGAGCATCCCCCCGCACGCAGACACACGCGCACGGCCTCTCTCACACACGTGGGCGCGCACACGGAGAGGTCCGGCTGCGGCGCGCTCACCTCCGGCGGGCCGCGGGTCCATCGTCGCTCCGCGCAGCTCAGCCGCGTCCGAGAAGGCAGCGCCGCTCCGTGCGTCCGTCGGTCGGTCGGTGCGCTCCGCTCGCAGCTCCCGGTGCCCGGTGCCCGCAGTCTCGCCCGTCCCGGCAGCTCGGTGGCCGGAGGGCCGCCTTGGGCAGCTTTATAGGCGCCTCCTCGGCCGCGATTGGCCGCTCGCCCTCGCGTCACGTGGCAGCGGCGGGGCCAAAACCGGGGCGCGCTGCGCTCTGCCCGGGCCGTGCATGCGCTCCCGGGGCGCGGTGCCCACGGCGCGCGGCGGACCTTGCCCCTCGGCGAGCGCGGAGAGGACGCGGTCCTTGGCGCCCTCCCGCGCCCCGCGCCCTCTCAGGGGGGCCCTGAGCAAACAGTCCAACAGAAAACAGGCCCGTGTGTGGACTGCTGGGATGTAAAGCGCAAGGTTTGCGCAAACGTCGCTTCCCGTCCCTCTCTCCCTTTAGATGTCTGGGAGGAAGCGAACGTCCTCCGCTTCGAGGCCACCCGCAAATGCCCCAGACGAAAAGGTCCAGGGGCAAAAGAGTGAAAAAGGAGGGTGAGGGGAGCAGAGTTCCAGCTAGAGGGGGATGGGGGAGGGTGCGCCCCCCGCGCCGCCGTTATGTGGGAAAGTCTGGATTGCCCGGCTGAAAAGATAGAAAGGGAACGCAGCCCTTCCTGCAAAGAGCCGGGCAGGATTTCAGGACGCCCTGCCCGATTCTCACAACTTCTTGGAGAGGTTTGGAGTAGAGCTGCGAAAGAGGAGCGAGAAAGAGAAAAAGTCCGCAGTGAACCCACAGGATACGGGCTTAAAGCCGGGTCTCCCTCTCGTAGTCTCAGCACACACACACGCACATTTCCCTGCACGTAGAAAACTCAGACAAGGCGCATCGCTCTTTCGGAGGTGTTGAGCTTCTACGAGCACGAAAGTTTTGGGTTTGGGAATTGTTCTGGCTTAAATGTGGAAGGGTATTCAAAAAGGCGACCCTCGCCCACAAGCCCGTGTCGCACCGGCCCCAATCCTACCACGTCAGCTCATTCTCGGCGTGTGTATTTGGCCGTTCCCCAAAATGGGATGCGCTGCACTATTTCAAGTCTCAGAGACCCACAAAGAGGCGCCCCTGAATCACCCGAGGCTGCCACCAAAGACCTTTTCGTGGGGCAGTGGGGCGTGCCCCTCTCTTGACGTCGATGGGGTTGAGCGATGTCCGAGTAACTCAGGTTTACATAGGACTGAAGTCTTCCTGCCTAAATGGTTTGTGGATCTCAGTGTCTACCGGGCTGCTTCCAGTAGCGTCAGGACAGAATTTACCTGGAAGTATTTGCATTCGTAAATATCCTCATACAACACAGCCAGACCGTCCTGAAAATGATCCTGCGCGGGCATATTTTGCTCTCGAGTGCGCACGACATCCGTGCCTCGGGATACCCGAGTGTGCTTCTTTACGTGTCACTGGTCGTCTTTCCTAGATAAATTTAGGAAGCTCCTTTTTAACACCAACTTCACTAGGGAACAAATGCCTTCTAATACCTGATCTGCCAATTAGCCACAAAATATGACACAGACGGACCTGTCCATTAAAAGTGGACGCTCTATTTCGTATGAATTTTTGGTCCCGCAGCTTCGGTGGGGGCTGGTTGGTAACAATGAAAAGGTTTTCCTTAGAAACCAGTCCTGGGCACGTCGCTGAAGATCTATAAATAAACTTAAATAAACACTGTTATTGATTTCAGGGAATGCTGCATGAAAAGCTCTCGTGTTTACCTTTGGGCAAAGGCAGGGTCTACAGTTTTGGAAAAGAGGTAAAGACACCTTAGAACACCTGGAAGTTCTCAGGGATGAATTCACCGAGGCATTGGACAAGGGGGTGATCCGGAGGAGCAGCGTGGCGGAGACTCTTCCTTGAAATCCATTTAGGAAGGGTCGCAAACGGATTTCAAGGCAAATGCGGGGGATGATAGGCCTTGTTGCACAACCCGGCTGGAGGCAGCCCGGCTGGGGAGGTTTGATTGCTTCGTGCCCCCCCCCCCCCGCCTTCTGGGCCACTGGGGGGCAATCTGATGCGCGGCAGATGGTTTGTGCTACCCCCCCGGGGGCGTGCCGCCGGGGGTTCGTGGGAACCCAGGCACCTGGAAGGGGCCTCTTCCGATTCCCTGCTCTGTGCCGTGCGAGCGCCTTGGCCAGTCCGTCGGCGTCCTGGGAGCGCAAGCGGCGCGCGGGGAAGGGGCAGCGATGCTGCGCCCCCCGCCCCCCAGGCCGCGGGTGTCCCCACGCGCGCGGGGACGGCAGGGCCGCGTCCCCCGCCCGCTCGGGAGAACCGGGCGGGCGGGCGGGCGTGGCGCGGCCCCAGGGCCCGCCGCCCGGCCTTGCGTGCGAAGCGGCGGCGGCGCTCGTGCCCAGCGACCCGGAGGCCGCGGTGTGCCCGCGACCTTGCCCGCCCCGAGCAGAGGCGGGCCCCGCTGGCGTGCCAAGGGGCCGGCGGCTGCCAGGGCGGCCTTCCCCGGCCGGCGCCCTCCAGCTCCCCGCTTCCCCTGCCCATTGGCCCTGCTGGCTGGGGCTGATGGGGGCGAGCTCCAAAACGTCTGGGCGCTGCCCGCCAGAGGTCTTGGGATCCCGACTCCCAGCATCCCCTGATTATTGGCCCCTGCGGTATGGGACTGATAGGCGTTTGGGTCCATAACGTTTGGAAGGCGTCCGCCTGCTCAGCCCGAAGGCAGCCTTTGCCCAGCTGGTGCTCACCAGATGAGTTTGAACTGCAGCTCCCATCATCCGCGGCCCATTGACCCTGCTGGGGGAGGCAGGTGGGACCTACAGCCGCGCGGAAGGGGTTGGCGCCTTCCGAATATTTTGGTGAGGACTCCCATCAGCAACAGGCTGGTTTGAAGACCCCTGTCTGGAAAAGCACACCGCTGAGAACTCGTGCAAGGAGCGCCAAAGGGCGACCAGCGTGGCCTCGCTCCGCGGGGAGCCACCACGGAGAAGACCCTCCCCTAAGCCCGCAGCCACCCAGCCTCTGGAGGCGGCCCCACCGGCACGGGTGCCTTCCTGAGACCCAGGCGGGCTCGCGTGGGAAGGCGCAGCGTGCGGCTGGCTGCCTGGCCCCCAGTCACGCAGGACCCATTCTTGGAACTGTGTCCCGTGCGAACCTCCTTCGCCGCCCCCCGTTTTCAGGAAACTGGCGGCATCCATGGAACCCGCCCGGAAACCGGGAGGGGCGGCGCGAAAGCTGCTGGGGGAGACGGTTTGGAACGCGGCTCCCATCAGCCCCAGCAAGCGAGGCCAATGCTCGGGGGGGGGGGGGGGCGCTCTCGTCTGAGCTAGCTACTTGGCCTACAACGCCCATCAGCTCCAGGCAGCGCAGGCAATAATGGGGAGGATGGGCGTTGCAGAGCGAAGCCCCGGGGGGCACCAGCTGCGGGACAGGCTGGGCTGGGAGGCGCGCATGGCCGAGAGCGCGTCGGCCCCCCGGGGAGTAAGACCCCGGATCTCGATGGGGCCTACTTGTGAGTAGAGACTCAGCGCCACCGCCCGAAGAGTCTTGCGGATGGCAGCCGGGGTGGCCCGCCGGGCCTCTGTCCCTCCTTTGCGGGAGGGGGGGCGAGGGAAGAGGCCGCCGCCGGGCTGGGCGGGGGGCGCGGGTTGCGTGAGAAGGGGCCGCGCCGAGGCGATCGCAATCTCCGCTGCGCGCCGGACTGGGCGGCGACGGCTTGGCCCCTGCCGCACGCACGCACGCCACGGGGCGGCACTGAAAGGGGCCGGCGCGCACCCGCCGGCCTCCGCGCGGCCGTCCCACGCACGGGGGCAGGAATCCGGGGGAGGCCGCGCCCAGGCGCTCGGGGCGCACGCGCCGGCCCTTCTCACGCAGAGCGTGCGGCAGCCGCGGTCTCGCGTGCGGGCAAAGCTCGTTAACGCCGCCGGGACAAGCCCTTTCCTTTCCTTTTGCTTCATCCCTTTCACACGCACCTTCCGCATCTCACGTGTCTCCCAGCGGCGCCCGCACGCGGCCGTGGGGTCGTGGGGCGCAGGTGGGGGACGGGACAGGAGTCGGTGGCGGGTTGGCGCCCGCAAGCTGGAGCCCACCACGCGGCCAGGACGCCGCGAGCGGAGAGCCTGCCAGCCGCGCGGGAGGCTGCAGGTTTGCGGGGATCGGCAGCGCATCGCACAGACGCGCAGGGCCTTGCGCAGCCCCTGGATCGCACTGCCCGGCTCGGCTGGCAGGGGGGGGGGGGGGGGCGGGCGCAGCAGGCGCAAAAGCCCAAATGCATTTAAGAAAAGCCTGGGGCGAGAGGCTTTCGGGGTGCTGCTCCATGACCCTGGCGGCCCGGGCCTGGTTATTCGGAGACCTTCAGCTGTGCACGTGTGTTACAGCCTTCTCCATCGCGCTGGGTTGAGGCTCCCACCACCCCGCAGCCAGCGGGCCCAATCCTGCTCACTCTCGTCCCTCTGGATCCACTACACTGGATCTCACTGGCTTTGAAACAGATGGGGGGGGGGGGTCCCCAAATGCATAGGGAGCAACCCATCTGGGCAGCCGTCAGGTTGGGGCTGGATCCTTGCTGGGTGCCTAAGGGGGATCAAGAGGGCGACCTGGCATCGCACCCCAGTCCCCCTGTGTATGCCTCACACTTCTAAATCTTTCTGCATTCACCTGCCGGAAGTCTTGTGCCCGCGTGTTCAGTGAATCATGGAGCTGTGGCGTGAGCGGAGCCTGCCTTGCGGAGCTCGCCCGCTTTTTGTGCAGTGCGTGAAAGTCCGAGCCCTTTTTGGATAAGCTCTTCTTAGCCACAGAGAGTGCCAAAGCATTGCGAGGGGTGCGGGGGGGGGACAGGCCCCCCCCCTCTCCAGGGCCAGTGACTTGCCTGCCCGCTGCTCCCCCTCCCTGGCGGAACTTTGCAGTGCTTTGAAGGCAAAATGCTTTTCATGGTCAGCGACATGCAATGAGTCATAAATGTGCGATGCGAACAAGCTGCCCTCCGGCATGAAGTCGCACGAACATTAATTCCGTCAATATGGATCTGTTTAGATTTATATACAGCCTTACAACAAAATGTCAAAGTGGTGAATGAACAGTGCCGTGGTGCCAAGACAGCAACAACGCTGCA